GGCTCTGTGTCCGGGCCTTGTCCTCCTCTTGTCCTTGTCTTGGCCGCCCCTGAACTCTGTGGCTGGTCTCCGTGGCCCGGCTGACTGGGCCGAACAAATAGCGGTAGGCGATATCGATGCTGACAAACATCATTGATAAAGCAGTTTGCTCTTGGGGGAAGGCAGGGCGTACCAAGAAATCGTTTTTTTGATGTTTTTGACAAATACTGGTCCAAACGAATCGTTTTAAAGCTGTTTGGGTTGGGGTCTATGCTGGTATAATCACCTTCCAATCCAATAGCTTCGCAGTATAGTGGGCGGCAGAAAATTGTTGGCATGTTGGGTTTATATAGTGAGTGTACGCTTGTGGATGTGGACCTTTACATAGCTGGGCCAAGAATTCAAGACAGAGCATACACAGAAGATTGTGCACACACACACACACACCTAGCGATCCTAGTGGCTCAGCCGAGGGCTTGGCTTGTCCTTGAGCCCCTAGTCCTCGGCTGCGTTGAGGTTTGCGGACTCCCTCCTCAAACCTCGGGAGAAGACACGCTGTACTCTCGACATGCTCCGGAGCCGGGGGCCGGGCTTGAATGAACCAAAGAGACAACGGCTCGGTGAGCCTACGATCTGTCTTGCACGATTTGGGCGCCAAACAGCCATCTCCGCGATGGCCCCGAAAACCACTGGACGGCCCAGCATCGTGAGGGCCATAATCATCAGCTTCATCAAAGACAGATTTGCTGATGTGGGCGTGGACCAGAAACACACTCCAAGCCCAAGCTCCCAGGTTGGTCACAGTTTGGTCAGTGGCTGAAACAGGGTCCCAGGGCTTTAATCACCTCTGAGTCAGGCCTACGACTTCCAAGATCTTTTCCAAGTAGTGGAGCAGCAGCAGCAGGCCCTTCTCCGCTTGGCAGACGTGCCTTGGCTTCCGCAAAGCGATTCATACGAGGCTGTGCGCCTGCACAAGTATGCATGTCCACAAGGGTTGCTGTCACGCTTGGTTGACATTATATTAGTAGTTTAGCTCATATTACAGTGTTAAAATGGCATTCAGGGCTGCGGCCCGGCTGCCCGAAGTGGTCACCTCGACGACCGGCTCAAGGAACACCGCGCTCAATGGGAGGGATCACTGAGATGGTCCTCAAGGAATAGACATCTTCCGCCACCAGGCAGGGATGTGGACCGTTTCTGGTGGATTTCCTCCATGTGCACTGTACCTTCACAAAACGGCATTGTGCAGACGGAGGGCGGTGGCCCAATAGGTTGGGCTCAAGTGGGTTGCTCTAGGACTCTAGAGGTTGCACCGATACATAGGTTAGATACTTGCATGTGTGTAGAATTATTCAGTGGACTCATTCATATGATTTTGATGATTTTGATCATCTCTCATCACGACCTTCTGCCATATACAATTTCAATGTATATAGCTGTAGATCCAGCTTCCCGGGCACATCTGCGACACCGCCGTGTTCAACGCCGGACTCGCCGTGTTCAGCTCAGGGCCAACGCGGTGGGGGTCGAAGGGCTTGAAGCCTTTCGGCTTCGTCCGCGGCTTCCGACCTTCGCTTCCTTCGGCGGAGGCGAGGAGCGCTTCACGAAGTTGAGTGCGCAATGCATCGCCGAACAGCCTCAGCAGCCGGCCACCTGGGATCCCGTACCTTCCAACCCCTTCGACGACGAGACCTTCGCCTACGATGTGGATGACCATATCAAGGCGAAGAAGACCGGACCGGGGATGACGGCGTGACTGCGGGGGTGACTGCGGTGGGATGGGTAGGTAGGGATGAGGATGGGGGGGCTTGTGGACCTGATGAATCACAGGGATGCTTTCGCGGGACAATGATGGAGGCGGAGGTTGTTTGGTGCAGGTGACTGTCAACAACGAAGTGGTCTTTCCCAAGGACATCCAGGCTGGATTCATTCATCCTGCTATGTGCTTCGACGGTTTTCTCTGCTTTGTCTTGCTGAGTTCTGGATTCTAGGTGCTGGAGGAGAGTTCTGAGCTTGCTTCTGGGCCGGTCGAAGCAGGCACGTGTGAAGTTGGACGAGTAGGGGCTGAAGAGCCAAGGGCAAGTAAAGGGCGAGTCCTTCTTCATAGTCTATTTGAAGGATGCTAGACTGCAGCTAAGACTCATAGGCCATATGCCATAATAGGCCACTCCAGGCCGCGGTCGTTCATGGTGCCCAGGACCTATATAGTTCACTCACCGCAGTTCCAGTGAACGGGGCCAGGCAGCAGCCGGATGGGGCGGCACTCGGTGATGTCAGCCAACGTGAAACCAGTTGACTTTCATTTGACCGAGCACCTTGGCGGACGATTTGGCTGGATTTGGGCGGAGGACGTGGTTTGGCTGGGCACTTTGTCGGGCCAATGTTGGTTTGGAGTTTTGCGTTTCTCTTGACTTTGTGGCTTGGGCTGGGTGGAATTGAGGAAATTGAGTCTTGGGGTAGGTTTGAGAGTGTTCTAGTGCTAAGAGATGTCAAGACTTTTGCCAATGATTTCGACAGAAGAAAGCCTGGGAGAGCAACCAAATATACCACACCCCTCATGACTCACGTGAGCAAGAAGCAAACTCTGGACCATTGCAAGCCTGGAGCCCCCAACACCATGTAGCGAACGACCTTCCAGACAGGTCAATCAAGGTATCCTGGTTTTGACCCACAGCCATATGGCTTTAAGGATTGGTGCTCGTCCGTCAGCAGCCCCGTCGGCTGAGGCGTTCATTGCAGGGTGCGGCTTTGGTCAAGAACAGATGCAGGAGCGCAGCCTTGTCCAGAGATCCCTGAAGCTGCAAAGGTGAAGTTGCCAGCCAACTGTCAGCTCCTGTGCTCAAGTTTGCTCAACTTGATTTCTGAGTTTTGCAAGTTTGAGAGGGCCGATCCTAATGGATTTCGAGGGTGCGAGTTCTGTCCTGGGTGAGCAGGAAGATTTTGGATGCCACCGCAACTGCACTGGTCATTTTGACACTTGGCCGAGACCAACACGGGGCCCACAAGGCCAAATTGGCGTTGTGGTTGATACATATATATATATAGCTAGGCGTCCAAGTCCCACCTTCGCCTCTTCATCAGCAACCCTGCTGAATCGAGCAGCCGTTCCTGAATCGACCTGGGCACCAAGGAATTGCATGATGCTCATGGTGGAGCTGGAACTTGAGGCGCAAGTCTGCAAAGTACTGTAAGCTTTGCATCACTCCCCGACAGGGATAGAACCGTTAGGCTTGATATTGTTTCCTCCAAGAACCACATGTGAATCTTTCACTTGGGTTCAACCTTTTTTGATAAGTCTGCCCAAGCTGGCCCAACCCTTCAATATATAACGGAGGGCCATTTAATTTTGTTTTTTTTTTGTTTCCTTTTTTGTTTTTTTTTGGGTTTTTCGTGGCTTCTGGCTTCTGGCTTCTGTGGCTTTTGGCTTTCGTGGCTTCTGTGGCTTTTGGCTTTCTTGGCTTTCGTGGCTTCTGTGGCTTTTGGCTTTTGTGGCTTTTGTGGCTTTTGGCTTTTTGGACTATCCATCTATTTGTCTATATCTATCTGTCTATATCTATCTATCTTTCTTTATTTCGTTCTTTCTTTCTTTCTTTTTGGCAGCTGTTCTCCTTTCTCTTTTTGCATTTGCTTTTCCTGTTGTTTGCGTTGCAGAGACGAAACCAAACAAGGAAGCAAGCAAGCAAGCAAGCAAGCAAGCACGAGCTGCTCACCTTTGGATCTGGTGTGCTGCTGGGGGGGGCGCTGCGCCCCCCCCCAACCGCCCCCGCGCCACGAAATCTGCACTTCATCCCCGACACCCGCGCCTGCCACGAAATCAATATTTTAAGGTGAACCCCCCGGTGCAAAACTTTCTAACCAAGCAAATATGCCTCCTCTATCTATCTATCTATCTACCTATCTATCTATCTACCTACCTACCTATCTGTCTGTCTGTCTGTCTGTCTGTCTATCTATCTATCTATCTATCTATCTATCTATACTATCTATCTATACTATCTATCTATACTATCTATCTATCTATCTATCTGTCTGTCTATCTATCTATCTATCTAACTATCGATCCATTTATCTTTCTATCTTCAGTTCAACATCCACAAAGTACTGCACCTGCCACGAAATCGGCACTTCAAGGTCCACAAAGCCTTGCGTCTGCCACGAAATCTGCACTCCAAGGCCCACAAAGTCCTGCACCTGCCACCAACTCTACACTTCGACATCCACAAAGTCCTGCATCTGCCACGAAATCTGCACTTCAAGGTCCAAAAAGTCCTGCGCCTGCCACGAAATCTGCACTCCAAGGGCCACAAAGTACTACACCTGCCACGAAATCTGCACTTCAAGGTCCACAAAAAGTCCTGCGCCTGCCACAAAATCTGCACTCCAAGGCCCACAAAGTCCTGCACCTGCCACCAACTCTGCACTTCCACATGCACAAAGTCCTGTGCCTGCCACGAAATGTGCATTGCAAGGTCCACAAAGTACTGCACCTGCCACGAAACACGAAAAACAACAAAATACCAAAAAAAGAAACCAAAAAACATCCAAAATTAAGTCGCGGCCCATATATAAGTTAATGTTTTCTTCAATTTGGTATTGGTATCTTCTTTTTTGTTGTTTCTTTTTTGGTGGGTTCTGGCCTTGGCTCTGGCGGCTCTGGTGGCTTTTGGCTTCTGATTCTGTGGCCGTGATGGTCATCGGTGGCTTTGGGCTTTGGCGGCGTCCTCGCTAGCTGCAAGACCTCCGCCGGCCGTGAGACTGACCTTCAACCAATGCCATCCCCAGAGCTTGAGCCAATCCGGGCAGGTGGAGCTGATGCACAGGTGTCGTGCAATTGGACTTGCCCAGAGGATGAATTTGAGTCTTGAGATGCCTTTTTTTGCAAACAACTTTGTAAAATCAAGGAGGTTTCTCCACTTTGAATTTGGCCTCTTGAGACGGCCTCGTCAGCAATCCAGGCAACGTCGCAGACCTTTTGTTTTCACTCCTTGCAACGTTTGTTGATTTCCTCCACCTATTACTTCATAGGAAAAGAGCCAGGAGAATCAACAATTCCAACGGAAGTTCTGAGGTTGAAATGACATTGACACAGAATTGGAATCTTCAATTTAAAAGGAAGTTGAAAAGGAACCTAACCAGCAAGCGCACAAGGACATAGAAAGCACATTTAGAAGCATATCGAAGTATAAACAGAGATTGACAATGCATTTCAAAAGAACATCTTACCACAAAAGGAAATTGAAAAGGATTTGAACGGACATTCACATGAAAAGGGACAATGAAAACAACTTTGAAAGGACGCTTAAATCAAATGCAAATTGACAAGGCGTTTACAAGGGTATGTAAGTTCAAACGCAAATTGAAAAGGAACACAATCGACAATATTTTAGCTATTGTAAGCGGAGCAAGAAGACCCCCAAAAAGAATAATACCAAATCAAATTACCACATTAAAGTGTGCCTATAAGATGTTCTTAGTGGTTGCCAGACAAGGTTGAACTACGGAACTCCCGTTCAAAAACACATGTGTGGGCCATATATATATATATATACAAGCGATGGTCGTGGGACCGTCGCACCATCAGCTCTGCTTGGACGGTCAGGGCAGAGCAGTGGGCTCCAAACTGGGACTTTCTGAAGGCTTAGATTTGACGGAGCTCCTACGATGGTTCCACGTCGCCCGGCCAGAGCTAGAGCTCGCGGGGGGGGCGAGGTCACGGACCAGAGAGAGAGAGAGAGATAGATAGATAGATAGATAGAGAGAGAGAGAGAGAGAGAATGAATGAATGCATGCATGAATGAATGCATGAATTAATGAATGAATGAGTGAATGACTGAATGACTGACTGAATGAATGAATGATTGAGCCAAACTCGTCTCAACATATTTTGGCCATGCAAGTTTGATCAAGTTTGTCTCTTTGTGTGTGTTCGGGCCAGTGTGCGTTCAAGTGCCTCACTCGATCTTCTTTAACTTCAAGTGGTCCGAAATTGGTGTGCGCTTCAGCGCGAGTTTGGTTTGGTGCCAGCTTTTGTGGACATTTGGCATTTGGGATGACGTGATGATGGGGTTTGCTCCAAGGTGATTGATCAGATCTTCATTGCGATTTTCTTGTTGGAGTTAGTATTCAGACTCCTGGCATGGGGAGGGGTTTTGGCCCTCGGGGAGGCAAGACGGACAAGGCGTTCGGCATCGTTCAGCAGCTTTGGACGGTTAGACTGTTTAGTTGAATTCCTGCACATTCCATTTCACTTGGCCAAGTGTCATCTAGGATTTCTGGTGGACGGCGTCGAATTTTTCAAGGAGTGGGTAACGTTTCTGCCGCCTTTGTGCTTGGAACTTGAACAATTGCCATGTTGCCCAGATCCCTTTGCGGTCTGGAGCCAGGACGTTGCCAACGCTTTTGATGCATGCCTGGTGGTGATCGGATGTGTGGCCTGGCCATTTTGTTTTGCGTTCTCGCATTGCGAGAGCATTTCGAGTGAGCCCGGTTGGAGAGCGACCAAAGCAAGAGCACACTTTGTTTTGACCTGGTGGATGTGGTGTGAAAGATTTACTCACCTAGGTGGATCCTTTACATAATCCATGGATGTGGCTTTCTGCCTCAATGAAGCTACCTCAATCCCGAAACCATGGCTCCCTTTTCCGAAACCAGAGGGGTGCCCTCGTTGAGAAACCACCAGGTGGACATCCTAGTGATTGGCCCTGTGCTTGGCAATGGCAACGCCGCCATGATGCGAGTGGTGCGTACATTGAAATCGCTGAGGGCTTTGCGACTGTTGCGCGCCTTTCGAACCTCGGGCATTCGGAGGAAAAGGCTCCACTACATCCCTTCCGGATGTCCAGAGACATGGGGTTTTGTGTCGATGGATTGGCAGTGTCATACTAAGATCAGGGGTTAGCAACGGCCAGATCCGGCCACCGACTCCTCCTCCGGCCTCCTTGTGCCTCGCTGAGGATTTGTGCGGGGCTTGCGGCTTCTGGTGAAGGCATGTCAGTGCTTCCTGCCCTCCTTATGTTGGTCCATGGCCTCCTGGGCCGCAGCCAAAGGGAGGAACTGTTGGACTGTTGGGTTCAGATCTGATGTCGAATTTCATCTTTCAGATTCGGCTCAATGTGAGGCACCATTTTTTTTTCCGAGAGTACATTCATGTTTGGAGGCATTCTTTAGCTTAACTTCATCCAGTGGAAGCCCGAGGTGCTCCGTGTGAATATATATATATATAGTCTGTCTACTTTTTAAAAGCAACCTATTTGATTTCTCGGACTGCCATGGCCACTTTGGACCTTCCTTTTTTCACTCCCCTCGTTTGCAGACGATCTTTCACGTCACTTGGCCTTTGCTTGGGCCAATTCGCTATAGGTCCTGCTGGCCGTCTTCATGTCAATTGGGGCATTGGTGCTGCTCAAGTTGCCTCAGAATGCTTTTCTGTGTTCTTCTTTTTTAAATGTGGTGGTTTCTTGCAGGGGCGTCTAACTCGTCCCATGGTCGTTGCTGAGTTTTCTTCGTCCAAGTCGCTTCGGTATACGCTCAAGGTGCTCGGAAATCTGCTTCTAGACTTCAGCGCCAATGAACTGGAAAACTTCGAGGATGCTTGGTGGGTGCCCATTGTTGCGGTGAACAAAGTGAAGCGAGATGTGTTACTGGAGTTAGGACCTTAAACGAAGTTCGGCCGATTTGACAGATTTCAGCCTTTGGTGCCCAGAGGTGCTATAGAATACTGCAGGTTATGGAACAAAGTATATCTCCTGCACACCTTGCTTGAGCATCTCAAGATTGACAAGTGGTGTCATCGATGGAACACCTGCCCAATGCACGCCACACCAACACAGACACAGCTTGGCGGTTTTTCAATGTTTCATCTGGAGATGTTTCCCAGCAATGCCGCATGTGTTCCGTTTGTGCTCAACCCCTTTTTGATTCTGGGCTTTCCCACAAACAAGAGGTTTAACCGGTTTTGGTCTTAGCAGCTTGAGGACCGGCAGTGGGTTTGGTCGCACTATGGCACTGCTTATCGTGCCTTGTACACGTTGCTCGGCGTCATGTTTGCGCACCAGAGAGTCCCGCAATGAGACCAGTAGGTCTTGTGTCCGGTTGCACGCTTACCTTTCAATGTTGGGAGCTGTGGCGCAGTAGTGACCATTTTCACAGATTGCAGCCACATTTTTGGAGATTTGGCACCTTACGTGTGTTCATGTCACACTCTTGCACTGAGACTTTATGAAATCACCTTCGCAGGCTTCTTGGTGGCATAAAGAATATGTTTGCTGAAGGCTTTTGACATGCCTGGCCCAAACGGCCTCCGGAATCCAAATAGTCGATACTTATCATTTGAGGATTGTTTGAATGATAGCTTGGGCCCTCCTTTTCGTTTTTTCAGCCAGCAGCCAGCAGCTGTGGCGCTCAGACAGCGCGCCAGGCAACTGGCCGACGAATGTCCGTCCCATCTTGAACAAGGTGCAAGCAGAGGGTTGGGAAGATGTCCTCGGTGACATCACTTGGTTGACGAGTCAACTTTGGTCTTAAGTTTTGAGACCTTGTTGCGTTCGGCATTGCGCAGAGCGCGCTGAAACAGGGTGACCCTGTTCAGCTTAGTTGCTAGCTGATAGTGTGTTCTTGCATGCTATCGGGTTTTGCTCTAGTTCTGGCACCTCACAGTCTCACAGTCTTTTTCCCAACTTTCGGCTAAATATGCGGGAGAAAGCATTGCTTCAGGAAACCGTCAGGAAGTCATTATTTGGGACATGCACATTGCTTCACATGATAGAGGGCCTACGTACAAAAGCTGGGCAAGAAGCTGCACTCACACTCCCGTATAGTGAGTAAGCAAAGGAGGGGAAGAAGCAGGACACATGGAAACAAGAAAATAAGAATACCAAAGAATAAGAAGCAAAGCAAGCACCGGAGCCGGAAACTGCGGCAAGCAATGTTGGCAGGTATGTAGCAAAACGAAGCGCGCAAGAAAACAGGGGATCCAAGCAGCCAGAGAAGGAGAACATGAAGGAGAAGCAGGAAAACACAAGTAGCAAAATAGTTGATCCTCCTCAAACACTCCGCGAACCCGGGGACCAGTCACATCCATGAACAGCAGCAGAGGTGAGACTTTGATTGCCATAAGAGAGCGGTAAGAGGCCGCAAAACGCAATTTTTTCGTGGCACCCCTGACAGAGCCTTTTTTCTTTCCAATTGCGCTAGCACTAGCAGCAATGTTGGCTGCTTAACCTGTTTCAACTTGCGACTTTGGGGGCGGATTGCAGGATCTTTGGGAAAACGCTTCCTCAAAAAGGGCAACTCACTGACATCTCCACCCTTTCTTGTTGCCCCTTCGCGGAGCTTCTAATTCTAGTGACGTTCTCAAACTTGCTGGACTTTGGCGTCCTCTTTTGCGCGACAGGTGAGCCATGTCTACTGCATCTTCTTTGCGCCGCGGCTTGACTTCTTGAAGCCTGGTAGCTACATCGATCTGAATCGTGAAGACATGCAGTGGCACCTGAAACCGGTCCACCATCGAGAGGTACGGCAGTTAGGGTATATAACTTCTCATCATGCACAGTGCTTTTCACTTTCCTTCATTGACACGAGCGATGACTTACGCCATTTTGGCTCAAGGACTTTACAGAACCGACGATATCATCATTTCGATCCCTCTATTTTGGCCTGCTTGGCCTGGTGGAATCATGTTTTGAGACCGGAAAAATCCAGGCCGGAGTAATGGAGAACTTTGCTTGGATCATCAGTAAGGGTGAGTGGGCAGCAGCAGCAGCGGCAGCAGCAGCAGCAACAGCATCCTAAGCCTTCTAGGATTAATGGAAGGAGCAGCAGGTGGTAAGGTGCCAGCTCAATCCAGCTGGGCCAGATGCCACAACCTTGTTTCTCCACATGTTCGCAGAAGGCTGGCAAGGTGAAGGCACCAAGCCCGTGCTGGCGGACAGCAGCTGGGATCACAGGATGCGGCGCTTATGGGGCACTGCAATTCTTGCGCTCGATGTGCAAATTCAATTTCTTGGTTCACTGGCCGGCTTTTGATTATCAGGCCGCGGGCCATCATTTCAGCAACCTGCTGCCCACCTTTGTGGCACACTTTGTGGCCATGGGGCGTCACCATGTTCTCACACAGAGCGCTGCGTGCCACCTGCTTGCTTGTGCCACTTGCTTGTGCCACCCTGGGGTCCGATACAATAGTGTATGTGGATGTGGACAAGCGGCTCGGGCGCCGCTTCTTCCACACTATTGTGGCCGTCATAATTGTAGGGCATAAGGGCCTCCATAGGTTGTCTCAATTCTACATGTTTGCACAAGCATCAGTCTTCGTGCGTTCGCGCCTCGCACAGTTTGATTTTCCGAGTGGTCGCAGACATTTTGGCTTCCACAATTGCAATGAGAGAGCCGAATTCAGGTTTTGGTTTCATTGTCTCTGGTCTTGTTGCTGTGACCCTCTAGGGCTCTAAGAAAGACTTCTGCTTGATTTCTGAGCCCCCCGAAGTTCTTCTTCGTCATCGGCCCTGGTTACCTGGACTCTTTGCTGAATCGGAGAACGTCTGCGCAGTCGGAATACTTAAAGATCTTAAAGGAGATTGGTGCCCTAGCGTAAATTTGGACGGGGGTCAGTTCCCACTTGACTTTCAACGCTTGCCGCATTTCACATGATGTTGTTGTGGGTTCTTTGGAACGGACATGGTGCCCATACTTGGTTTTCTTCGACAGTCCGAATTGCTTGAAGTGGTTCTCCAGGGAGGTCGCAAGTCGCTCGCCGAGCGCGGAATTGCCACTGCCCACGAAAAAAATAATGCATTCGCGTACACACAGTCTGTCCCGAGCCAAAGCTTAGTAACGGTGCAGAAGCATGGGCTGTGATGACGGAACAAAACCACCAACTGAACTTGCAAGAGCTGTACCTGTATGTAAAGAGCTGGCAGTTTCGAAAGAGCCACTCGTCATTCAACCCCCCCCATATGTACTGTATGAAGTGACGCCTCGTTCTTCACATGGATTCCAGAAAACCTTCAAAAACACAGTGTTGACATGACCGAGGAGAATGACTCCAAATACAAACGCGGCAACAGACAACAAACAAAGCAACAAGGTGACGGCAGGACACCGGGACACCATAGGAACGTTAAGAGCTATGCCCCGCGCGCCCATTTGGAGATAACCAGGGTGCTTGTTTTTGAGTGGTTTGCTGCTAGAGGGGTATTGAGCGCCCGTGCTGTGCAAAACTGGGGAAGATGGTCCGGAGGGGGCATAGCAGATGAAAGGTGTGAAGCCAAACTGCGCGAACACGCCGGGCCAAACTGAGGTGCTGTATGTCACAGTCATCAGCTTCGCAGTGATTCGTGTAATTTCTGCAGTGTTTCTCAAAGACACACTAGATGCGGCGCAGAATGACGCAGAGAATTTGGTTGTGGAAAGGCTGCCACGGCTCAACAAAGCATTTTCTTGTTCGCATTTTTTGTGCTCAGCGCAGGCTGCTTTGTTATAGGCGTGCGGTGTGAGTGTGAAAGGGCCACGCCTGTGCATGGAATGCAGGGCGTGTGCGCAGACCATTGTCACGCCCAAGGCTGCGGAAGAAAGACGAATACGTGAGAAGATTGGAGGCTGTTTTCATGGCTATTGATTGTGGCGGTGATGGCATGATCACAGAGCAGAGGTGCGGCGTCCTTCGGTTGTGTTGAAAGAGGGTTGTCCCATTAGAACTTTGTGGCCCTGGGGTTCATTTTCCCGTGGTCTTTGTTATAGCAGTCGGTCGTTGGTTTCGAAAAGTTGTCATTGGTTTCATGTCAGTGGCATTTGGGTCACAAAGTCGTCATCAGATGACCATGTGCTTTGGCTGCAGTGGGGTGGTTGAAGGTTGGGGTGGGAATTCTCATCGTTGTCATCATCTTCGTAGCGCTGTCTGTTTCACTTGTCATCCGTGTCGCAACAATGTCATAGGCTTCATTCCCTTGTCGGTTTTTGTGACATTGTCATCAGATAACCGTGTGATTAAATTGAAGTGTTGGGGTGTTCGCTTTGTCATCGGTTTTGCAACAGTGGCCTGCTCTGCATAGCTAGCCTTCGGTATAAAAGCATTGGTGGACTTTGAAAGCGCTAACTTTTAGAAAACGCCCTTCGAAGGCAAAAGGGGCCGCAAAAGGGGCGCCCTACGGGGCGCTACTTGCTTTTCGTGCATCAGCTGGGGGATTCCACAGACCGCTCCCGGCAAGAGGCTGACAGACATTTTGTCCCACCCGAAAGTGGCGGCGTACTTCCAAACTTTGGATCTGGATGTGCAAGAAAGCGCAAACCTTTTCCGCATCATAGATGACGGTGACGGAGAGGCTGGCTTGTGTCAGGGGTGAGTTGTGTGCAGAGCTGCAGAGCTACTTTTGTTGGTCGCGTGTGCCAGGTGACCTTGGAGGAATTTATAGACGGCATCATGAGATGCAAGGGCCAGGCACTGCCTTACACAGTCGGCCGTGAATGTTCCCGGCGTCGTTTGCAAAACCGCCTGGCGCCAGCCCTGCTTATACTATTACCACCACTACTACTACTACTACTACCATTACCACTACTACTACCACTACTACTACTACTACTGCTGCTGCTGCTGCTACTACTACTACTACTTCTACTTCTACCACTACCACTACCACTACCACCACCACCACCACGACTACTACTACTCCTCCTACTACTACTACTACCACTACTACTGCTACTACCATTACTGCTGCTGCTACTACTACTGCTCCTGCTGCTGCTGCCGCCGCTGCTGCTGCTGCTGCTACTACTACTACTACTGCCACTGCCACTGGCAGTGCTGCTACCACGGGTATACAGACAGGTTGTTGGGTTGAGGAGCAGCAGCGGCAAAGCTTGCTGCTTTGAAGAACTAGGCCAAGCAAAACATGGTAGATGACTACAGTGAACGCATTGCATGCATACATACATACATACATGCATACATACATACATACTTACTTACTTACTTACATACATACTTACATACATACATACATACACACACACATACATACATACATACATACATACATACACATGCACGTACGTCAACAGTGCCGCATGCTGTTTGGGATTTTCAAGTGGTTTGTTCGGTGTTTTTTTCCCGAATGCGTAGCGAAGGGTTCTCGTTTAACTCTTGGGGGTCTGGGGGTAGAGTCTTGTTCGCGATCCGTTGTTTCTATGTTCGCAACCGTCCGCAACCGTTCGCAACCGTTCGCAACCGTTCGCAACCGTTCGCAACCGTTCGCAGTAGGACGCTAAGGCGCTGCCATTGGGGGAAGCTTTTGCAAGTGACTTTTCATGGATGTGTCCCGTGTCAGTTTGCGACGCTATTCCATTGTGATTTGCATGAAAATGACATGTCGCGCAAGAAGCGTGATGCGTTTCGCTGCACAGGCGCAGTGGTTTGAGAGATCCGCAGTTTACTGCGCAGTTCCATTGGGATTAGCGTTTGGAGGGTCGTGTTTTTGGAGTGTTGGATGTGGCCGTGCCATTGGGATTTGCATTTCAGGGTGTGGCCTCGAGGCTCTGTTTTCGTGACAAGTCTCAGCTGAAATGGCGATTTTGGTGGATGGGA